CTACCCCTTCTACTCTACAATTGGTGTAACGAAGGGTAGGAGAGGACTTGTATTCTTTACAGACGAGAGAATTTTACACGAAATACAGTTGGGATTTAGATTAGGTTGGATTTAGGTTATACGATAAAAGATCCAAAAGACTAGAACCAAGAATGAACGGTATGGACAAGAATATAAAACATAATAACTAAACCATCGACCAAACAGGCACCTACATAAACATGAGCAAAAGTAAACCTGACAAAATATATAACGGAACAAATAAGTGAAATAACATTTCGTGAACTTGATGTGGGGGACATATGTTTTTATGTCATATTTATGTCGAAAGAAAAAATTTTTTTATAATGGGTAAAAAACCAGAAAGACCCAGTTCAAAGACTATGACCAGCAATCAAACGCCGGAGAACTTTTAAAATCTTTGCGGGCGGGGGATGTGTAAATTTTTGGTTTCCCGCATTTTTAATCATATCTTCGTCTCCCCAACAAGGGTTGGAAAGGGTTGCGCCGGGGGGCGCCCGGGGGGTAGCCGGTGGTGTTGCGGAGGTTACAGAAAGTGACAACGCGGGGGCGGGTTGCTCGAGAGGCGCTTTTCTTTGTATATCGGTGTTCCAAGAGATAATATGCCCAAAAATGTGAACCCCTTAAAACCCCGTTTTTTGTAAGGATGGTCGGGTGAAATGGCTTTCGTCAACGGGGGGGGTCTATTCTGAGTGTACCCAGGGTGTAACGTAGAAACCAAAAAAACCAAAACCCCTTGTAACGCGGCCCCCCCCCCCTCCTCTCAGGCAGTGGAGAGGCTGATACACCCCACGCTGTGTGAGCAGTGCATTGAGTTCCTGGAGCGCCGTTTGGTTCAGCAGCTCAACAGCAGTGTGGAGCGAGCGGGAGAGGAAGTGCTGCACGCCTTCATCCTGGTTCACACTAAACTACTGGCCTTCTACTCTAGGTACATATTAGTCCTTTAAACCCCTTTACCTTATTCCTATCACTATTATTTATAATTCCCGAGTCAGTGAAGAGGCTTCTTTTTATTTATTCAAGGTTTTCTTTATAAATGATGACTTTTCTTTTCTATTCTGCTTGTTCTAGCCGCAATGCGAGCACACTCTCCACCTCAGACCTCCTAACCCTCATCATCATGTCACAGAATATGTATCCTAGCAACACGGACGAGGATGATCCAAATCCTGAGGTAGAAAATGATGACAGGCTCACACCAACACACGTTGTTAGTCACTTTATTTCTGATTGTTTATTGTCTGTTTCTGTACATGTTGTGCGTTTGTCTTTGAAGGACATTGAGAGTACATCTGGTTCTGGTCCTGAAAGCTTTTACACCCCAGAGCCCTCTCCTACAGACATGGACTCGAGAAGTTCAGGTTGGTATTGGAGTCTGTGTATCAATATTTACCCAGTTATTACATTATAACAACAACAGTTTGCGGTCTTCATTTGTGTGTCAGCAGACATGCCAGTGAGAGAAAGCACTCCTTTGTTTGAGTTTGTGGACCCAGACGTCCAGGTGAGAGTATATCTCAGTGTGTATTCCTAATAGCCAATCCAGATTTATTTTATTAAACGCAAATCAAACGATAGTTCTGTTTGAATGAGACCTCATGACTGGATAAATTGTGTTGTCAGATGGCAGAGGACAGCTTGCACACTCTGGAAGTTCCTCCGCCCGACCCTTCAACCCCTCGCAGAGTTTTCTTAGAGGTCTCACTCAAAGATGGGCTGTTTCCCATGATGCCTCACTCCATGTACTGCCTGCCTCTGTGGCCCGGCATCACACTTGTGCTGCTAACTAAGGTTTGTGGAAACCAAAAATGTTACCTACATCCTCATTTTCAGGCCCAATTCCCTCTTTCTCAGTCAACTGGTATTCATTAATTTACCTTTTATTAATTTCAGTATATATAATTTTTTATATTAAGTGATATCAGTTCATTTATATTCGTTTAAAAAAAAAAAAAGTGTTTTATTTTTTTACATACATTCTTTTTAATTGTACAATATATTATATAACTTATTTGTATATCTTTATAAAACTGTAAAGCCAGCAGGGGGCAACCTTGTGACACAATTTTCCGGCATTCATTGTTATCATTATATACACACATTTATGCTCCCTTGTTGAACACCTTCACTTCTATCTGTCAGATTCCCACCAGTGCAGTGGCCATGTCAGTGTATACGTTTCTGGAGGCCTTCGCCAAACTGGAGAAGCGTCTAAACGAAGGCCAGGAAGGACCAGCTGCTACCAGAGGACAGCCCACTATACACGACATCCGCAGCAAACTGGACAAATTCATCAAAGCCCTGGGGGCCAGTGAGATACAAGTATGGGTTTTTACGTGCACCAACATGGTTTGCATCATACACAATATATCCAACAGCTTTTAAGTTGACTTTTATGTTTAACTTAAATACATGCCAACCTTTATCAAAGAATACCCGACATTAGTCTTCAAGTGGAGTTAAGAATATGAATGTACATAATCATTTAAAATATTGTATTTTTTCAATCAAAGGCCATAAATAAAATGGTCATTCACAACCCATGAAAAAATGGGTAATACATTTAAATCCAGTGCCTGCATGTGCTGTGAAAAGCTTCTTTTACCTTACTGTAACCTCTCCTATGATGTAGCAAATCAAACTTTTGTTGGAAGATTTGACCTTCATTGCATATTACAAAATAATTGTGATTGTCATCCCGTTTTTGGACCAATAGTAAGATCTGCTTTTGTTTCTTCATGTTCTATTCAGTCCGCACAGTTACAAAATGTCTGGACAGATTTCAAGAACCGAATCGGCAGAGGGGGGCCAGGGTTCAACAGAGAGTGAGTCTGCAGCCCTCTGCTGGCCAACATGCGTCATAGCACAGTTGTTTGATGACGCTTTCAGTCATTATATTGATGTTCTTGTTTTAGGCTTATCCGCAGTTGTAAGAATATGAAGACCCAGCTCTGTGGAGTATACCGCCAGTGTTTCCTCATTGAATCTGGAACAGCTGACAGTCCTCGACGTCTCTCCCCCGGCCTGCAGGAGCGGGCCCAGACCATGGTGCAGTGCGTATCACTCAGCAGAACATGCTTGTTTTTGTAAATTTTCAGATTTGAATTTGTTCTGAATTAGTTTAACTTGTGTTTAGTACAAGCATACTTGCCAGACAGTCGGCATTCATCATTGTTCATGTCTGTTTGTCATTCTTCTCTCCCAGAGACAAGCTGATGGACTGGAAGGATTTTTTGTTGGTAAAAAGCAAGAGGAATATAACCATGGTGTCATATCCTTTCAGCAAATGGAACCTGCTCCCTATGATGCCGTGTTGTCTGTGTGAATTGGGATAATTCTGGAAGTGCATGCATATTTTAACAACATGCATACACCCAGCAATTTCTTTGAAATATGTCTTACTGTTATCCTGAGTGTATTGATCTTGACCCGATTAATCTCACGTACCTGGAGGACTTCCCGGGCCTCATACATTTTATCTGCGTGGACCGATCCACGGGCCAAATGATCGCACCGTCGCTCAACATCACTGAACGCAACGTGTCTGAGCTGGGGAAGGGGCCATTGGCTCAGTTCATCAAAAGCAAGGTCAGGCATACTGAAAGTACACGCCTTAAAACATATTGATGTTGAGTTTAATTTCTGATTGATACATGCAGAGCAGACCAGAAACTGTTTATCTCATATCAAGTAATTCAAGTTTCAGTTTAGTCTATTCCTGCTTTCAGTGCAAAGAACCCATATTATAAAAAAATTAATACATATTCCTTATGTGATTGCTTAGGTATAGTTACATGTATTTGCTTAAAGGAATATATAGAACATGTGAGAAATATGCTCTTTCCGACAGTTGAATGAGAACAATAATAATTGTGCAGTAAACACTGTTTGTGCTGCCTGTTAGCTTAGCTTAGCAATAAGACTGGAATTGGGGAAAACGTTTGCAACCCTTAAGTTTTTCTAAAGATTAAACAAAAACAACTATATTTATTAGTGAGCTTTTTCTCTCTTTGTGCTAAGATAAGCCAACTGTCTCTAGTTTCATATATAATGCACAGATAACAGAGAGCTTTCGTCAACAAAGCAAATAAGCTCATTCTGTATCACTCCTTACTTTTATATTTAGAATGAACATTACTTCAATAGTTATGCTCATTTTTGTCTTAAATGATTTTCTCTTTCTCTCTCTATCCATCATGAAGGTGTGGAGTCTGGTCAGCACAACGCGGCGCTATCTCCAGAAGGGTTACTCCACGGTCACATTGCGCGATGGAGACTTCTACTTCTGCTACTTCCTGTGGTTTGAAAATGAAACTGTAAGTAACTTGCTTGTCGTGTTTTAATATCAAATGATAACGCAAAAAAGCAGAATGTAATATGGTAAAGGTAAAAAAACTGCACAATATAAATGGTGTATGTGATCAATCAGGGCTACAAGTTAGAGGCAGGGGACATACCCGTCCTACCTGACGACTCGGCCCCCGTTGGGATGCTTGCCTGGGACTACTACAGGTAAACACCTACACATGACAAAATAGATGTGATTAATCTAAACAAGATGGCTAAAGAAAGTAACATGTCCTGCAGGAAGCTGCTGCGGTACTACAGCAAGAATCACCAGGGTGAGGTGGTGAAGTGCTACGAGCTGCTGACGGTTCACCTGGGGGTCATCCCCACTGAGGTCATCCTCCAGCACTGCAGACAGCTGGCAAGCAAACTGTGGGAGCCATCTCGCAATCCTCTGCTGTAGACGCACCCACACACTCAGACTGAGTCACAGTAGCCAAGGTACTTGTTTGTTGTATTGCCAAGAAGAGAAAACAACACTCTCTCACTGTCTTTATATACATATATATATGAAAGTGATGGAAAAATGGAACATAGGCACGAATGATATATATTTATTTACATATTGTTTATTCGAAGCACTTTCATTATAAGCTCAATCGGACACCAGTGTTGCACAGTGGTGAGTCTTGTTTGAATAATAATGATAATATCACTCCTAGACGTTTATAATATATTTTTTGAATTTATGACATTCCCTATTTATAAGTCATTCTGTATGTTTGTTTTTTGTTTAGAGCTTTTTTAAACATACAGTTGATCCGTTTTTATAAATGCAGATATTTCCATTGTCGCCTTTGCTAGTGCTAGTGTAATACTGTAATTACTGTATGTCTCTATGAGTATAGATGTGTTTTTGGAGACAATAAACTTCAGTAATATCACATTCACTTGTTAATTGAGTCATTGTAAACAGAATGGAAATGGCACCATTTGAACCATTCACCCTTACATTAATTTTACAAAATACAGTGAATTGATGAGCTTGGTCCTAGGTGTGAAGGAACAGTTATTCAACCATATGACAATGAATACAATGGTAACTGCAAGTACTGTAACAACTTCATTGAATTTAATAAAGATATTCTAAAGTTTATTCTCACCAATCATTGTCTAACCTTTTAATTCGCTCAATTGTCAGTTGACCCGGGAGACTGAGCATTTTAAAGGTCAGTCCACGTTACAAACGATTCCTCAAGCTTATGGAGGACTCCACACACTCGCAGTGAGAAGGAGGAGTGTGTTCAGTAGATTCTCAGTTTCTGCATTGCTGGCTCACAGAGCTCCTGTGAGGTCTGTGATGGCTCCTGCAGCCACCAGGTCCCTCAAGAAGAGTTTCTCAGCACTGACATCATGCACCACCTGGACAACGGTAATAAAAACAAGGCATGAATAAACCAAAACATGAGGCTTGCTAGCTTTAACATTGCGTACTGCTCTAGGAATGCAATTAGCACCGGCCACCTGCCAAACACACGGTTAATGTTGGCTGTGGCAGGTCAAATTGTAGGACACGTGCCACCATGGCAGATGGCAGGTCCTATTATTTGGCAGATACAGAGCAGAATTCAGAGGTAAAAATAGCCAGGTGTTAAGGTTACATGATGTTTTTTTACTGTCTTGAACTATTGACTGAGTGTTTAGAATTCTAAAACATAATGTAAAGATTTCAGAAGACAGACAACAACTTTGAGTGACTGATAGAAATGTTCATTAACCTGCTATTGTGGTAGGTGAGAAGAAAATACTTCATTTCCCATCCTAGTACCAACATTTGGTAATATAAACTTACTTGAGCCTTCATTGCACCCATGCGTATGGTCTCATAGTAGTGAAGCCTCGCCTCTGGGTGCTTCATGTCGTACCCAAACCCTGCCAGGCTCACCTGGTCACACAGCTGCAAGGCCATCACCACCGCACTCGCACCTAGTGTTGGGACCGTCTTTTTTAGAAGAGATAAGAGAAATTGTCTTTTATCCTTGCTTTAAACAGTTTGAGCACCAAATACTGTTATAACGTTTACTCATTTTAAAGAGCATGGGTAATGGTATGAGCATGTTGAATTGAAGGTTGTGTTTGCTTATCTTTCAAACCCTTGATTCATAGGCTTATAACAAAGTCAATACATGTCAGAGCCAGGCATACTGTATACATATGTTACTCAAGACAGGTAAGGCCAGCTGTTCTAAGATTGGTTTTCTGTTGGCATGTTGGCAGTATTGTATGAAAGAGAAGAACAAAGCACGATGGAACTCACATTTCTCGGCTTCAGAGCATATTTTTGTAGGACTTGTTCTGTCTTGTGAATTATCTCTGGGTGGAGAATCCTGAAGTTCTCTGGTCTCAGAGGAATATCATCCACCACCTCCCTCCAGAACCATATTTTGGACCAGAAGCTCTATTAAAAATCAACCCAGGAGATGTAGAGCATGTGAGGCAGTGAGTGTGATGATGAATATCTATGACGCACACGGCTTATGTAATACTCCATTTTTGTGTGCAATGGTTTCAGTGATGTAGGCTTACCAAAGGCTTTTTGGTGATGACAGAAGTGAGCCAGTCTAGGTCCAGGCTCTTAAAGACCACCAGAGCAACCATGGTGGTCTTTTTGTACTCAATTGCAGAGTGGGGTGCTCCCTCTGGGTACACGAGGCGGATGGTTGTTCGGGAACCAGCATCTTTCTCAAAGCCAAGCACTGGAGCATTATTAAGCCTGGTAGCAGAGATGAGAAAGTATGAAATTGATGATGCAGGCCAAGACTTTCCTCTCAAACTCATTCCAATTGTATCTGCTGAGGAAAGGGTCCATCAGCTCAGGTCTAACATAGCACTAGTGCCTGTAACATGAGGAAGATTCCTCCCACATGTTTCTGACTAACACTGTCACACATACCTGATGATGACATCATACTGATCAATGTGGGGTCCTAGATGGCTCCCATGAAGAACCCCTCCACTGCCCACCACCACACAGCGCCTGCAGCTGCCATCTCTCCTCAGTGATGGAGGCAGGCCAGGCTGAGGCAGAGATGCAAGAGCCAGGTCCAGATGCTCCTCGCTGCCTTGGAGCCCCAGAGGAGGGGACAGATCCCAGGGCACCGGCCCGTCCTGCTGCACAAACACTGGGATGTCCAGGAGGCCAGCAGAGCAGGACAGGGGCTTCAGGTGGTTCAAACCCCAGCAAGGCTGACAGGGGTCCGACAGCAGGGATGCCGACTGGTTTAGTAAGACCTGAAGGGAGCAGAAAACAGAGGGGTTTGAAAAGAGTAATGTAATAATCTCATACAGGGGTGTCCAAACTACGGCCCTGGGTCCATTTTTGATTGGCCCTCAGCTTATTCTAAAAGTATAATGGAATATGGCACACACCTGAAACTTGTGCTTCACTTATAATGTTCCTCTTAAATATATGTGTACAAATATATGACACAGTATTATTCATGTGCCCAATGTTTCAATAAATGCAGTCAATTCAAGTTGAAACATTTTCTAACAAATCTTAGTTGTTAAAAAGCGAAATTCTTTGTAACAAAATGAAAATAATTAAACCCTAATGAAGCTGCGATGTAGGCTGTTTTTTTCCTTAAGCATATTCAATTATCAAGACAAATGTACCTACATTTGATTGATTTTTCTAACTTATAACTTAACATATGAGGCTACTGATACCGATGATGTAAAAACAAAAGCTCAGTTGTGTATCTGTACCAGATCTTTAGGATGTAGGTTGTCATCACTGAGAACTGCAACCTTCAAGGGAAGATATGCAGGAATCAGAATAGCAGAGTAGCATCCTATCAGCAGCACCAGACTGAAAGCAAGGTTCTCTTTCCTGAATCATAGAGAGAACAGACAACAGTATTATAGCAGTAGGTAATAACAGGTCCACTGAACAAATACAGCGCCTGCGAGATGCACCTGCTCAGGAAAAACTCCCTGGAGTCAGTCTCTGTGATCCCTCGCTGTCTGTGAAAGACAGGCGTTGGTGTTACAGCCTCTGTAGCCTCAGGCAGCAGAGGAGAGCCATCGTCTGGATCCTCTACACTCAGATGATTCAGCGTCACCATGGCACCTGTACGCCCGCCTGAAATACACACATCACAGCAATGATCATAATCCTATAATTAAAATGCAATGTACCAATAATGCTATTCTCCATAGTAAAGACATACTTTTGATATAAAAACATGTACGTATTTATGGAGTTTAGAGTAAGACTATATTTCAACAAACACTGTGTGTAAAAAACAAACTGAAGCAACAGTACTTGAGTAACACAAACAAAGTACCTCGCAGCCAGCCTGGTAGAGATCTAAGCTATTGGCTCCATGCATGAAGGGTAAACAGAGTCCTATGTAGCTAAAATGGCTGCTGCTGCCTCCTACTCCTCTGAACTCTGCCACTTCCCTCAATAACACTGGTTAACCATTACCCTGGTCACACTGTGGCATGCAGATGTCAGCGAGATGAGGCGTGTCCAGAAACACATTCATTGTGAGAAAAAGTGATTAAGCAACACTGGATGGCACATTAAAGTGTTGATGCACTAAAAAAAGAATTGTTATATCTACTGTGTTTGCTCAGTCCGTCTAATATACCCATAACATGGTTGGCTGGACGCTGATTGATTGTTGGTGTGCTATCAGACAGATATTTACAAGCTATCACTTGGCAGTAATGAAACCTTTATAAATAACATAATCCCCCAAAACGGCGTGTTTATGAGGGTTGTTCTCCTGTGAAGAGCGTTACACAATGTTGCAGCAACAGTACTGAGTAGAATCAGGATCTCGTGGAATGAATTTTCACTGAGCCCATGACCCCGGGCATGACATGCCAGGGGGGTTGGATGTGTGTGTGTGTGTGTGTGTGTGTGTGTGTGTGTGTGTGTGTGTGTGTGTGTGTGTGTGTGTGTGTGTGTGTGTGTCTGTGTGTGTGTGTGACAGAGAGGAAAAGAGGGAGAGGGACATTGTAATGCTGACAAGTACACATACACACATACACACACACACACACACCAAAATGCACACACACCTGTTTGATAGGGTGACACAATGTCCCACCATGAACTCGATATTTCAGCCAGGAAGCCACTGGGCTTGCAGCGCTTCTGTATAAAGCAACACTCAGCCGGCCAGATTGTACTCAGTATTATAACTCCAAGGTTATAAAGCTTCTACTTTTCAAAATTGTTTTATTGACGGTTTTATTTGTTTGTATCTTTGAGTTCTATAGATATGGAAGACATTGAGCAGTTGTCAATTGATGTGACCACCTTCAAGACAGGAGCAGAAAAAAAAGTTCAGGTAGGTTAGGAACATGCTAATGCAAAAATGTGTGATGATTTTCCATTAATATGGCAGTATGGCTCATGGCATGACAATCATTAGACGCCTATGGAGATAATTTTTTCTTGAAGAAAATGAATGTTACTAATTCCACAATATCACAATGTGTAACGAATGCCCCGATTTATGACAAAAGGAAGTTATATCTGTTATGAACATGAGGAGAGAAATGTCTGTCAGCCTACTTCAACATCCACAACATTTACAGTGAGAAACACACATACATCAAAAACAGTAGATATGAAATTGTATTTGGATTATTTTCTTTTAAAGCATAATCTAATGTGTTGTGTTAAGTGACATTGAATTCACTATAGTTTCACTAAATACTGTTTTACTTAAAAGAAAAGACTCCTGTTCATATGCTTTGTCAATGATATGGAGAGATGATATCTTGATACCTGTTCAACAGCAACATTTTGTGTATCAATGCATTTGTTTGTTTCTTTATTTTGTGAGTTCATAAAAATTGACTTTTAGTCTTTATTTCTGATATAGCTCTAAAGCACACAATTAATCTTGCCACAGATGAATTTGTATTCCTTTCATGTGCAGCCAATAAAATAATGAAATACAAACAGATACGGTCATTATGTTCTATAATTGCTCACATTAACTTAATATAAAACGGTATCACTATGAACCAAATTATGAGTTTCTGTCAATTAAAGGGTTTCCAAGCATAGAGTAAAAGACCAAAGAAACCACCACGAACGTGTCAATTATGGAATTAATAACAATGCTCTTTCGCTTCTTTCAAATAAGCCAAATCAAAAAAGAAGCTGGAAGATAAAAGATCACATACACACAATGATATGTTTCTTTGAAATCTTTGTGATTGATCCATTATTTAGCGGGAAAAAAACACTGCTCACTGCCAGAGCTACTGTATAGACTATCAAACCTAATAAAAAAGAGCTTTCACACACTCAAAGCTGTCCAAAAATGTTAAATATCTATCTATATATATTTATAGATATATTAATCAGGACATTTTCTAGCCTTGCTTTTGAATTGAACAGATTTTTGCACAGATTTGAGTGTGTAGGTGCTCTTTCTCAATGGTTAATAATCCAAAAACATAATGACAGCAGTGAATGTTGCTTTTATGACCAAGCCTAGCTTGCAGTATGCTGTAAATGTATTTTGACTTTGACATTGACACTGCCACCATTCTCAACTCTCAACACCCCTTAGCAAACTTGGCAAACCTCAATTACAAACTAATAGTAACCATGTTATCTTGTTTAAAAATATATATATATTATTGTTACCGCATCACTGTTTCTGTCATTTTCCAGGCAGAAGATAGAGCGAGGATGTCTTCAGACCTACACCGTGAAATGTTGGACCTGAGCATAGGAGAGAATATTACAGATCTGTGCAAAAGGGAAAAGATGACCAAGAAGACATGCTCGCCCAGGTTGTCAGCTGAAATCACTGTGGTGAGCTACGTTTTTCAAGAATCCTATCTTCATGTGCCCAACAAAGATACAATAGATACAATTTGATCTATACCTCACTTGTGTGTGTGTGTGTGTGTGTGTGTGTGTGTGTGTGTGTGTGTGTTGTGTGTTGTGTGTGCGTGTGCGTGACAGATAGAGCACATGGATACTGCAGAACTCATGAAAGCAGCCAGACAAGGGAAACTGGATGTAATAGATAAATATCTGGATGATGGGGGGAACCCTAATGTGCACGATGAGGTATGCTCTCCCTGTGTGTCAGTAAATCAGATACATTTACAACATACTATACAACAAGTCCCTTTTATACTCATGATATGTTTCAACTTTCAAGCTGAATAGGACAGCCCTGCACCGTGCGGCTGTAGAGGGACACACTGCAGTTGTCCAAACGCTTTTGGAAAAAGGCGCCGATATCAACTTCGAAGATGAAGTAAGACGTGCGGGCACATGGCTTGTTTGTAAAGATGATTATGAGATTGGTTGAGATTATCTTCACTCACTAAAGCTCCAGCCTCTAGTGGCCTGGAGTGAGCTATTAATAGAATGGGGCCATCCTACTGTGTTTCAGCTGGGCTCCAGGGCCATACATTGGGCGTGCAGAGGGGGAAGCCTGGGAGTTGTCAAAGCCCTGAGGAGCCAGGGGGCTGACCTGAATGTTAGAGATAAGGTGAATGTGCATTTTATTTATGCCTGGATCTTGTGTATCTGAAACATACTGTCTAACATACTGTCGTACTGTTATAATGTCCCTATACAGTTGGTCCCTAATGTGTTTGTCACAGTGAATGTATGTCAATGTCCACATTGCAGTTGTACAGCACTCCTCTGCATGTGGCCACAAGAACAGGCCATACGACCATCGTGGAGTACCTTCTGTCCTGCTGTGCTAAAATCAACTGCAGGGACAGGGTAGGCAGCGGCTTAACAGCATGTTTCATCTTCTCGATAATTCATTTCTGCATTTAATACCTTTTTTACTACTCACAGGAAGGCGACACAGCCCTTCATGATGCTGTACAGCTCAACAGATACAAGATAGTGAAGCTGCTCATAGATGCAGGGGCTGACACAAAAATAAAAAATCATGTGAGTTTTTTCAAAATGTCTCAAGCCCCAGTAAATGGGTCGCAAGCTCAACCAAGTGGTCAATATAAAGTATAACAATTGAATTTTTTTTTTAATGAGATGATAATATTCCCAACTCTTTTTGGTTGGTCAACAAATAGAGCAGCACAATGCTCCCCCCCAGTAAAATGGCAAATGTATGTTTTTTTATTCTGTTTTTTTATTTTTATTAACAAGATATAAGGTGTAAATCGGGAGCTTTTTATGTGTTGGATAGGCAGAATTTGTTTCCTTTGGCTCTGGACAGATCTAGGCTAGCTGTTTACCTGGGTTCCTTGTCTTAACGCTAAGCTAACTAAAAAAATGCTGGTGATTTAAAAAGGAGATAACCGGCAGTCTATAGCAGGTGTAAGTTATTTACCAAAATGTAAAACAGCTCCTTTAAAGGATACTCATTGATTGCATATAAGAAGCTAAAATGTGAAGCTACAAAATACTGTACAATATGTCCCCTCGTAACAAAAACTGTGTAACTGTGTTACAGGAGGGAGTGACCGCAGTACAGCAGGTAAAACAATGGCAGTCTGACATCATGGAGACCCTTCAGAGACTGGAGAAGCTGACGGAGGTGGGACCTGAAAACACTTCACGAGAGAGGAATGATTAGTGCAAAAGCTGAAAATACTCATACAGTAAACAAATTATAAAATCTCTTTCCATGATCTTTCTCAGGTTTAAAAATAGATTCTGTAATTCCACTGTAGGTCTGTGTACATCATATTTGAATACATACATTATATGTGCCCACCAACCAAATCTGCCTTTCTAGGGCATGGCAGTTAAACCTCTGAGATTAGTCTGAACTCTGACACTAGAAAATGTCAGCTTGGATGTGACAGATTCAAAATGATCTGCTTATCTTAAAGAAGGAGACACAAACATATAAATGTGGGAAACAAAGCTGAATTTCTCAAATCTTTTAGCCAAGCCCTGGCTTTTGATGTTTACTTCTAAAGAGCTTTATGATCTGAGGATCACTCTCATGGATGTTTCATATCTGATTTGTCATCATGCCTTTAGAAGTTGAATAATATTAATAGATAGTGCTGTGCAGAAGCTGCGTTTGGATATACATCAAGAGGTCCTTGTTTTATCGAGGCGACAGACAAGGCCAGAGCACACAGTAGCGCTGTGTTTGAGACGTCAGCTGACGATAGCAGAGATGGCTGGTATGCCCCCGCTAAAGTCAGGGATTGAAGGGGAGCTCAGTGGACATATTTTCCTTCTATCATCAGTGGCTCAAATGTTCCTGAGGGAGGTTGTTAATTTACACAGGGGATACCAACAGCTTGCTCCACTGCTTGCAATGCAATTGTTTATGCACAGTTAGTCGTCAAACACACAGCCATTCATTTTGTTCAACAAATATTGTGCTTCATAATGTGAATGCAACCCCTACATTTTATTAAAATGCAATATGTTCATGAAGGAAGCCCATCAGATACATTATCAGCCACACACAGCATTTCCTGTTCCAGGCATGGCTGTACAACTGTCAGGGACACGTATTATGTACAATACAAGGTTAGATACGGGACATCTTGTTTGTCAACCTGACCCTAACAGAGATAATACAGTATACATTCTTCAATGTAATGTAGTTCTGGAAGACTAAATCTATTGGACTTATATCAGTATAACAGCTTCACTTGTGTTGTTTGAAATGCCATGTGAGAGATACAAACCGTGTGCTGTTGAGCTGTTGCTGAGGGTGTAGAATTAGAAGGGGGATGGGAGAACTGGATGCTTCTGCTTTGTGCTGTGTGGCAGCCAAAAACCAGAGAAACCTGTTTAACCATGAAATGACGTTCCTTATCTACAGCTGCATATACCCTACTGCAAATCTAGCCATTGGTGTTAAAACATCAGAAATAGCTAAATAGTCATCTTTAATTGAACAACTCTATCATGTTACTGTCTACAAGCAAGCCCAATGAAACACATGCTTCTTTTCTCACCACAAGGCTTTATTAAACACATTATCGCCTTTCCAATACATATTCAGACCTATCCAAGGAGAATGAGGGGATACTGTGCAGTAGTTTGATCTAAGAGCACTAAGAACAAATGTATATTGTTATTGAAAAAAGTAACCACAGCAATGATATTTCATAGAAAGATGAAAGTCTGGAAAAGGCATCCTTTTCAAGCACCATTTGTTTCCAGTTGGAAAATGTGGATTTGTGTTAGTTCAATTCCACTCAGGCAGACATGTGTAGGTAGAGAAGGCTTGAGTTAGCGCCATCGCCGAAATAGAAGAAAGGAAAAATACCATAACATGATCTGAAATACAGGATATTACACACTTTGCACATACAGGCATTAAAACATCATTGTGTGATCGTAGAGGACGGTACTGAGGCATGCAATGGTTTCTATGTCTAATGTTATCTTCAATACTTCTGATTGCACCTTGCAGCACACTGTCATACCGAAGAAGGGATTGAAAGCAACTAGCAGTGTGGGTTCATGACACAGAGTATTGATTTTTTTTCCTCACAGAATAAAACAACAATCGAAATCAGCAATAATCCAGGCTAGAAACAGAATCTCATAAAAATTTCCTGTTTAATCTTCGGTCCTTTTGTTTTTAATGCGCACTAAAGCCCCAAGTGGGTTTGTCCTTATTGATTTGTTTCTATCGCTAAGCAGTGAGACAACACACATGTAACTCCTGTTTGCTGTTCCAGGCTTCGTTACCTGTAATACCATTTGATTGTCTTTGGTTAAATGTCTATGTAGGCAAATGTAGAAGCTTTTGCTGTGACCAAACACGGAATGAATCTGTAATCACACAATAGCTGTGATTGGCTATAATGGTTTATACATTTTTTCAAAATACTCAACCACACGGTCTCAGCTAACTCAGCTAACTAGGTGTTTCATTTGTTTCCTACGTGACAAAAGAAACACCTAGTTCCTTAAGGTCAGAAAAAACTCAACTGATAACAATGAATATGTATACGCCACACAGAAAAACACATACATAATTACATATTCTAATATATACATCTGGTTTAGAAATGATTTCATTCAGCTGCCTTAATTAAAATAAATGTCCCCAATTCAATGCATTTAATTAGGATTATTTAACAACCTTGAGGATGTCCAGTCATCCAAGTCTTTAGTTAATACAGGGGAAAACATGAGAGAAGTAACCAGCAGAGTCCCATGATTTCCACTGGGAGAGGAGGTTTATTGTAGAGAGGAGAGCTGCTAGACTTGTGAGTAATGGTAGCGAAGACTCAGTACCAGCTTAACAATATGTCCCTCAGAGTGAAGGCAATCTTTAAACAGGCCTCAAATTCATTAAGATGACAGACACCTAGGGCGAATGATGCAGAGGAGAAGGGAAGGGAACTGTGAGTCATCGTATTTTCAGATGGACATCCAGGAACTACAATCTCGTACCAGAATGTGTTTAAGGCAAATGTGAATACTGATATTCTAAAAGGAGATGCACCAGCGATGATACATACATGCAAAGCTAGAGTTTGAAGCAGCACTGTTAATGGAGACGAGGTGCCCTGTGGAGTACATTCACAAAAATGTACAATGTGTATATCTTTAATTTTAACAAAATGTGTAAAGTCAATTGATTTTCTTTTTTAAAACTGTGCATTGTTTAGATCCATTTGTGCTTGCTTGCAGTACCAGAGGCCAAGTCTCCACATAGGACATTATAACTCTCTTGTAATGGTTAATGCACTTTTAAAAAGATTAATTGGTCTAATTAGTAGCTAAAGTCTTTAACATACAGAGTACCTTTTTAACTACTCCAAATGCAGGAGAAAAAAAAACGTTTTTAAAGTATCAGATCTACAATTGTAGAACAAGTTGTTTTATATCGTAGCTAACTATTCTAGAGAAAACACTAAGACACTGTTTATGGGTGCAAGAATAAGTACAAGGAGAAAAACAGCAGCATTTGGTGTGTGCATGAATTGTGGAGTTAAAGGTGTGCTTAATGGTGTTGTAAATGTCAAGTCAGTCAGAAAGAAAGCCATTATTTGGTCAAATTGCATGTGCATTCCAAGCCACTGTGAAGGCTAAGCAAGGAGGATGCAGAAAAAACCCCATAAATGATGAAAAAAGAGAGGACACAGAGAGAAGAGCTGGAGTGCACTGCATCCTTGAGATCCTCCTAGAAGGTGCTGGAACCCTGACCGTGTGTCCTCCAGGGTCCATGAAGGTCAAAGTGTCAGAATGCGAGCATTAGAGGCTGAGGCCTGTGCACGCTGCACCACTCCTGGACACTTCTCCCTCTTCTGCAGCTTGTGGTTCTGAAACAAGCCCTCGTTTCGTGGGACACCATGAGCTCCGTCTGGGAAGGTCAATAGCCCTAGAGACACGGACACAGGACACAATGAAGAGAAATACTACTAGCATGATCGGCAACCTGTTCTAATGGTGTAAAAGCCTCACCATATCCCTCAACACGTCCATCTTTAAATTCTCCTTCAAACTTCATGCCATCGCATCGACTAAAGACTCCCGTGCCTTGAAACTTTCCATGTGCAAATTCTCCTTCATACCTGACATGGTAAAAAGAGATTAGGGTGTTATTTGTAACTTTTGATTGAGGAATAAACATGCCTTTCTTTTTCTTTTGGCTCACACACACCTGGATCCATCTGTAAAGAGCAGTACACCAGAGCCATGAAAGAGTCCATTTTCAAACTGGCCAGAGAAGCAGGTTCCATCTTGAAACTTCAGCTGGCCAACTCCATGCCTCCGACCTGGAAAGATGCAGATCAAACTGATTAATGGCTGAAATTCTGTCAGATGATAGAAATATAAGTAATCCTGTAAGGGCATATGACCTTGATACCATTTGTCAATTCACATTTGATCTTCATGGGTGTCATCATACCCTTTCTAACCACTTAGCCTCTTATGGATTAGTCTTTCATAATGGTGCAACATACTGTAAGAGACGACCAACTGAGCATGACATTTGAACTCGCAATGCAGCTCATGGTTTTATATTCACTCGGTATGGGAGGGCCACTGCATACTGTGGGGCAAAAAAGTATTTAGTCAGCCACCAATTGTGCAAGTTCTCCCACTTAACAAGATGAGAGAGGCCTGTAATTTTCATCCTAGGTATACCTCAACTATGAGAGACAAAATGAGAAAAAAAAAATCCAGCAAATCTAATTGTCTGATTTTTAAAGAATTTATTTGCAAATTATGGTGTAAAATAAGTATTTGTTCAATAACAAAAGTTCATCTCAATACTTTGTTATATACCCTTTGTTGGCAATGACAGAGGTCAAACGTTTTCTGTAAGTCTTCACAAGGTTTTCACACACTGTTGCTGGAATTTTGGCCCATTCCTCCATGCAGATCTCCTCTAGAGCAGTGATGTTTTGGCGCTGTCGCTGGGCAACACAGACTTTCAACTCGACTTTCTATGGGGTTGAGATCTGGAGACTGGCAACTCCTTCGTTGCCCGGGCGGTGTGTTTGGAATCATTGTCATGCTGAAAGACCCAGCCACGTTTCATCTTCAATGCCCTTGCTGATGGAAGGAGGTTGTCACTCAAAATCTCACGATACATGGCCCCATTCATTCTTTCCTTTACACGGATCAGTCGCCCTGGTCCCTTTGCAGGAAAACAGCCTCAAAGCATGATGTTTCCACCTCCATGTTTCACAGTAGGTATGGTGTTCTTTCTCCTCCAAACACGTCTAGCTGAGTTTTTACCAAAAAGTTCTATTTTGGTTTCATCTAACCATATGACATTCTCCCAATCCTCTTCTGGATCATCTAAATGCTCTCTAGCAAACTTCAGACGGGCCTGGACATGTACTGGCTTAAGCATGGGGACACGTCTGGCACTGCAGGATTTGAGTCCCTGGCGGCGTAGTGTGTTACTGATGGTAGCCTTTGTTACTTTGGTCCCAGCTCTCTGCATGTCATTGACTAGGTCCCCCCGTGTGGTTCTGGGATTTTTGCTCACTTTTCTTGTGATCATTTTGACCCCACGGGGTGAGATGTTGCGTGGAGTCCCAGATCGAGGGAGATTATCAGTGGTCTTGTATGTCTTCCATTTTCTAATAATTGCTCCCACAGTTGATTTCTTCACACCAAGCTGCTTACCTATTGCAGATTCAGTCTTCCCAGCCTGGTGCAGGTCTACAATTGTGTTTCTGGTGTCCTTTGACAGCTTTTGGTCTTGGCCATAGTGGAGTTTGGAGTGTGACTGTTTGAGGTTGTGGACAGGTGTCTTTTATACTGATAACGAGTTCAAACAAGTGCCATTAATACAGTTAACAAGTGGAGGACAGAGGAGGCTCTTAAAGAAGAAGTTACAGGTCTGTGGGAGCCAGAAATCTTGTTTGTTTGTAGGTGACCAAATACTTATTTTCCACCATAATTTGCAAATAAATTCTTTAAAAATCAGACAATGTGATTTTCTGGATTTTTTTTTTTTTTCTCTATAGTTGAGGTATCATAGT